AGAGAAGTTGTCTCGCTCTGTCGCCCACGTTGGAGCGCAGTGGCGCAATCATGGCTCACTGCAGCCTTGACCTTCCTGGGCTCAAGTGATTCTCCCGGCATTCACCCCCAGTAGCTGGAACCACAGGCGCGCACCTCCACACCAGAAAGCCCATTTTCTAGAGGCGGAAACCGAAGCGCCCAGTGGGAAAGGCGACCCGCCGGGGACGCGGGGTGCTCAACGCGCTGCCACCTGGGGCCCAACGCGTTGACCTCGCGGTCAGGTTGCTTCCGCGGACCACGGTTCTGGCTCGCTAGGTGTGGGAGGGAGCACGGGGAGGGAATGGTGGCAACCCCCAAGGAGGGGACCCAGGGATCCGAAAAACGAAGACTTGGGGTAGGTGGGGTTGGGTTTTGACTGGAGAGAAGAAAGGGTCACAAGCGCAGGGCGGGTACCTGGGGAGCTGTGTGGACTCGCGCAGACGGGAAGCAGACGCGTACTGGCGGTGAATTGGACCCGGCGGAGGAACGGTGGGGGAAGAGGCCTGTCCCCATCCAGCGGGGGCGGGGACTGGGCCGTGCTCCGGGGCGCCCTCTTGTGGCCACAAGCTCGCAGGGTCCATAGGCTCCGCTCAACTCGTTCTTCTCACAGCTGCGTCAGTTTCCCCAAGCCACTTGGTCCCACATGCCCCAAACGCGGTGCTGAGCATGGTTTCGAACTCCTCAGCGACCTGCCCCACATGGACATGGAGCAGTCTGAGGAGGAAAGTTCCTTCGGGATCGCATCCTTGCTGCTCTCTTCCGGCTCCCCATCCCCCTTATCTCCAGCCAGAACTGCCCAGGGCAAGTTGTTGGCCTGGCACAGAGTTGAGGCCGGACAGGTTTGAGTGCGAGGCTCCGCCATTGTCCAGCCAAGTGGCCTTGATCGTTTTCCCAATGCCTCCGAACCTGTTTCCTTCCTGTAGAGCGGGTCATACGTTGCCAACCTCTGCAGAGTAGCAATAAAGAGTAAACGCCACGCTCTGCACAGCCTCCCAGTGCTGGGCCTGGTTGCCACGCGGAGCCTTGGGCCTGGGACAGGCCAGACGTTGGTAACACATCACCAACCAGGGCAGGCGCCATGAGTAGATGTGAAGGAGCCCAGGGCCGGTCCAGGCTCTGATCGTGGTGTGCGTGGAGGAGGCGTTGGGGTGGAGTGGGTAGGAGTCAGGAAAGTGGCTGGGCCAAGACCTGGAGCTGCTGCATAACAATATCTGACATTTACACAATGAGGCCTCTGCTCCGGACACTGTTCTGAGGCTTGACCCGTCCTTAAGAACCTAGAACAACCCTGTGCTGTGGGTTTTATCCTTAACTCCATTATACAGGCCAGAGAACAGAGCCAGAGTGGAGATGTTCCATTGGGAAGAAGCCACATGGCTCTCCGCCATCCTTCAAGCCAAAAACAATTCCGAAAATCTGGGCAGGGGGCGGGCCAGAGAGCATTTGGGCTCTGCCCCCAGCACCCCCTTCGCGCAGACGACTCGGTAACTGGGCTGCAGGCCCGCGGCTGCGGAGTGCGCAGGCGCGCCTCGGTGGCCGCGGTCCTGGCCTTCTAGAGCCGGAGCGGAACGCGGAGCTGCGGAGGCAGCCATGGTCGGGGCGCTGTGCGGCTGCTGGTTCCGCCTGGGCGGGGCCCGCCCGCTCATCCCGTTCGGCCCGGTGAGTCTCCCCGGGTACGGAGGCCGGCCGGTGGCCCGGAGGCGGGCCATCTTTACCCCGCCCCTTGCTCCGGGGCAGAGTCCCGCGGAAGAAGCAGATGCTGGGGACTGCGAGTGTGCGTGTGCGCGCGTGTTGTGTGTGCGCGCAGGGTCTGCGTGTGTTCTTGGGGGTCTGGGTGTATGTGTACGCTCGTGTGTCTGCGTGGTGTCCGTCAGTGTGTTTCTGCGCGCTTATATTGGTGGGGGGAGTGTGTTCGTTGATGTCTGCCTCCTTGCGTCGGCGTATGTCTTCCCAGTGTATTTCTGTGTGCGTGTGATTTTAAGGGTATGTGTCTACCTGTCTGCGTGTGTGCATTTCTGAGGGTTTATGTGTGTGTCTGCTTTCCTATGCGTGTGCCTTTCTTGTGCGAGTGTGTAGTTTTACGGTTGTGTGTATGACCATGCTTGAGTATTTCTGAGGATCAGCCTGTGGTTTTGAAAGCGTGCACCTCCATCAGTCTCTCTGGCTTCCTGATGCCTGACTGCGTGCGTGATTTAGAGGATACCATTACTAAATGGAAGGGATTGATCGCACACGGGCCAGTGTGTGTGCAAGGAGGCTGCATGTACATGCAGGGAATAGCTTGTGCAAAAGAAAAGCGTGTGGGGGCAAGATTCGTATTTGTGCTTGTGTGCACCTGTGTATTACTGTCAACGCATATTCCAATGACCTAACGCGGGCACAGTTTACCCTGCCCCTCGCATATCCCCCCAGGCGGCCGGCTGCAGGTCCGCTACAATTGCCTAGTACTGCGTAGCACCTTGGGTTGCCAAGGCAACAGCCTAAGCCCCGCCCTTCCCTACTTGGAGGGGCGCGGGGTCGCCCCGAATGGACTACAAGGAAAGGTCCCTCGCGCCGGGTGGGAACCTGGGCTAACGCCCTGTTAGAGACGTGCGTCTGAGGTTGTTCGTGGTCTCGAAGAAAAGAGGAATGCGGTCTTCCTCCACTAGGTCCTGATTTTCCAGAAACAGCAGAAAGGCTGCTGCTGTGGCCCACAAACCACCGAAGCCTGGGGATGCAGGCTCAGGAAACATCCCTAAAACATCCCAGAGGGATGAATAGGACCCAAGACGGGCCCCCGGCTCCTAGCTCGGGCAGATGCCCAATTGGCACTCAACAAAGGTGTGCTGGCCGGGCGCGGTGGCTCACGCCTGTAATCTCAGCACTCTGGGAGGCCGAGGCGGGTGGATCACGAGGTCAGGAGTTCGAGAACAGCCTGAACAACATGGTGAAACCCCGTCTCTACTAAAAAATAGAAAACTTAGCCGGGCGCGGTGGCGAGCGCCTGTAATCCCAGCTATTTGGGAGGGTGAGGCAGGAGAATCGCTTGAACCCGAGAGACGGAGGTTGCAGTGAGCCGAGATTGTGCCACTGCACTCTAGCCTGGGCGACAGAGCAAGACCCTGTCTCAGAAACATAAAAATAAATAAATAAAGATGTGTTCGCTGGACTCCGGGAATGAAGCAGGCGTGCTCATCCTAGGCCCAAGAAATGGCAGGAACAGCCCTGATCCAGTCCATGGTATTATCTAAATCTCACAGGAAGCTTAGGAGGGCAGCCACGAGGTTATCCCATTTTACTGACAAACTGAAGACACAAGGCCAGGAAGTGGCAGTCTCAAAGGCCTGCCCAATTTGAGTCCTGGGTCCTAAGGGCTGTCCTCTGGGGTGGCAGAGACCCCAGACTGGAGGAGTCCACGAAGCAGGTCATTTGGCCAGAAGCTGTCTGTGTATGGGATGGGGAGTAGCATTCATCTCTCCAACCTCTACGCTGTGTTTTTCATTTCTGGGTGTACCATGCTCCTCCCTGGCCCTGCAGCCCCTCACTCCTCAGCATTTTCCTCTATTACAGACATTCACTGTGAGCCTCTTCATAACAGCTGGGTTAGACCGTTAGTTATAATGCGATTGTAAAACGCATTCTGATTTTAGCAGTATTAAATGCAGCGAGATTAAAAGAACCATTTCCAAACATGCCCTTAAGTGGGAGGTCCCTTTGCACGCAGTCTTTCTCCTTTGATGGCCCTCACCACTTTTTCCACCTGCAAGGCTCCAGTTCATCCATCACCTCCCAGCTCCACGGGTTCCTCCTTGGCAAACCAAGTGTGGCCTGGTAGTTAGAAGCCCATTCCTAGGTTCAAACCCCAATTCCCCCACTTGCTACTTGGCACTTTGGGCAAGAGAATGTACCTCTCTGAGCCTGCATTTCCTCACCTGTAAGAGAACTGTAATCACATCTGCTCCCCGGCGTTCTTGGTGGAAAAGAACATTGTATGTAAAGTGCCACACTCAGGGCCTGCTGTCATAAGCACTTGATGAACGGAAGTGGTTTCAGTTGATCCCATGATGGTGGCGGTCACTGAGCATGCTGTGTGCCAGAGGACACCTCAGATGCACCTCCTCACACTGAGGTATCTGAGCATTTGCCCTGGCATGTGGAGTAGTTGAGCATGAACCCCCAGAACTTTGCCCATAGCAAGGGAAAGGGCAAGGGCTAGAGCTCTTCCTCTGCTGGGGACTCTGGGTGGGTTTTTGGGATGGGATCCAGAGGTCCTTGTAGGGGCTCGGTCCCAGCCTCTTTTCCCTCTCCTCTCCTCCTCCAGACTGTGGTACAGACCTCCATGAGCCGGTCCCAGGTAGCCCTGCTGGGCCTGGGTCTGCTGCTCATTTTCCTACTGTATGTGGGGCTGCCAGGCCCCCCAGAGCAGAATTCCTGGTTCTGGGGAGACCCCAATGTCACTGTCCTGGCTGGTCTTACTCCTGGCAACTCCCCCATCTTTTACCGCGAGGTGCTCCCACTCAACCCGGCCCACAGGTAGGTGCTGCCCCAAGGGTCTAGTGGAGGGACTAGGCCCAAGGGGAGTCCCTGTGTGGGACCTCCATTATACTCAGAGTGCTCAGGGCCTGGGAGGGCAATGGGAGAAGCCTAGGAATAAAGAAAGGCGGGCTACACCAGGTCCCCAGGATACACATTCCCATGTGCCTGCAGGGTGGAGGTGGTGCTGCTTCATGGAAAGGCCTTTAACTCTCACACGTGGGAGCAGCTGGGCACACTGCAGCTACTGTCACAGAGGGGCTACCGGGCCGTGGCCCTTGACCTTCCAGGTGAGCACCCCCACCCCTTTGTCTAGGGAAGCCCTAAGGTGTGGCTGGGGGGCAACTGGACCCTAGTGTATGGACAAGCAGTGGCAGGTCACAACGTGAGGAGGCACCATGAAAAAGTCTGTGTTTTCATTTTCTACCATGAAAACTAGTGTGAATTCTAGGTCACGAAGCAAATAAAAACTCTTCACAAGCAGTGTACTTTCTTTTTTTATTTTATTTATATGTATTTTTTGAGACAGAGTCTCGCTTTTTCACCCAGGCTAGAGTATAATGGTGCAATCTCAGCTCACTGCAACCTCCGCCTCCTGGGTTCAAGCGATTCTCCTGCCTTAGCTTCCGAAGTAGCTGGGATTACAGGTGCATGCCACCACACCTGGCTAATTTTTCTATTTTTAGTGGAGATAGGGTTTTACCATGCTGGCCAGGCTGGTCTTGAACTCCCGACCTCAGGTGATCTGCCCACCTCAGCCTCCCAAAGTGCTGGGATTACAGGTGTGAGCCACTGTGCCCGCCAAGCAGTGTACTTTTTATGACAAACTATATAGGTTTTGTGTTTTTAAGTACACAAATGATTTATGCTATCATTTTTGTCATTAAAAAAATTTTAAAATGTCATCGAATCATAGAGGATAAAAAAAACTAAAAAATAGCGAAGCACTCGAAGACCGGTGCCGCACTTCTCTCCCTCTCTAAGAAGTTTAGGGGATGCCACACCCTCTTCTGGGTATTCCCACACATAAAGATGCAGATATATAGAGAATTGTCTGGTAAGGGCTGTAAACATGACTGGTGTCCTGCCTGCTTAGCACATCCATCTGCAGCTTGGTTTTCTCTCCCTACATCATGTCTCAAAGATCATGCCGGTCCCTGCAAACCTCCCTCTCTGTTGTTAACCCTGCAGTGTGTCCCATAGAAGGGATGGACAGGCTTTATCCAGCCATTCCTCTACTGGCGGAATGCTCAAGCAATGTAGTAGCTAAAGCATCCTTGGACATGCTTCTTTGAATATGTAAGCAATAATTTCTCTAGGGTAGCTACTGAGGACAATTGATGGGCCAAAGGACATGGTTTGTTTGTTTGTTTGTTTGTTTGTTTTAGATGGAGTCTCGCTCTGTCTCCCTGGCTGGAGTGCAGTGGCTCGTACTCGGCTCACTGCAACCTCCACCTCCTGGGTTCAAGTGATTCTCCTACCTCAGCCTCCCAAGTAGTTGGAATTACAGGCGCGCACCACCACGCCCAGCTAATTTTTGTGTTTTTAGTAGAGACAGGGTTTCACCATGTTGATCAGGCTGGTCTCAAACTCCTGACCTTATGATCCACCCGCCTTGGCCTCCTAAAATGCTGGGATTACAGGCATGAGCCACCGTGCCCAGCCACCAGGACATGCACTTTTAAATTTAGATAACTACTACCTCATCCTCCAAAAACACTGTATGGATTTATCCTCTCATCTGTCATGTATGAAAGTGCACATTTCCCCATGTCTCCCCCAACACTGGGTGTTATTTCAGTCTTTTTCATTTTGCTAATATTAGATGAATGAAAGATATGCTTTTCTTTTTCCTTTTTTTTTTTTTTTTTCCTGAGACAGCGTCTCACTCTGTCACCCAGGCTGTAGTGCAGTGGCACCATCTTGGCTTACCGCAACCTCCACCTGCTGGGCTCCAGCAATCGTTCTGCCTCAGCCTCCCAAGAAGCTGGGATTTCAGGCACCTGCCACCACGCCCAGCTAATTTTTGTGTTTTTTTTTTTTTTTTAGTAGAGACAGTTTCTCCATGTTCTCCAGGCTGGTCTCAAACTCCTGACCTCAGGGGATCAGCCTGTGTCGGCCTCCCAAAGTGCTGGGATTACAGGGGTGAGCCACCACACCTGGCCAAGATATGCTTTTCTAACAGGCATATTACATTGCCAAAAAATAGCTTCTGGGCAGTTTTAGGTAGTGTGCGCCAGTGCCACTGGTCCCCAACTTTTTTCCCCACTGTGGTGGGCAGGAAGTCTTGTGCTCCTTCCCATTGCCCCTCAGCTGGTACCTGCTGCTGTTCCTAGGTTTTGGGAACTCGGCACCTTCAAAGGAGGCAAGCACAGAGGCAGGGCGGGCAGCATTGCTGGAGCGGGCGCTGCAGGACCTGGAGGTACAGAATGCCGTGTTGGTGAGCCCCTCGCTGAGTGGCCACTATGCCCTGCCCTTCCTGATGCGAGGCCACCACCAGCTACATGGATTCGTGCCCATTGCACCCACCTCCACCCAGAACTACACCCAGGAACAATTCTGGGCTGTGAAGGTACTGGGAGAAGGATCTCAAAGGTCCTGGCGCCCTGTCTCTGGCTTGGGGGGGTTCAAGACTCAAGTCTTACTTGGCAGGACATGGCCTTATCCCTGATCTTGGAAGGAAGAGTTGGATGGTGTTGGGGAAGGATTCCTAGGAAGTGGCTTGGGGGTCAGAAACTCATCAGGCCCCAAGATCACAGCCCCCTGCCTTGCCCTGCAGACTCCAACCCTTATCCTGTATGGAGAGCTGGACCACATCCTGGCTCGAGAGTCACTGCGGCACCTCCGCCACCTGCCCAACCACTCTGTGGTGAAGCTACGCAATGCGGGCCATGCCTGCTACCTCCACAAGCCGCAAGACTTCCACCTTGTCCTGCTTGCCTTCCTTGACCATCTACTTTGAACTAACCCACTCCCAGGTCCCGACCTGGCCTGAGCTTGGACAGTCTGGACCACCACCCTCCCCTGACCAGGGAGACAACCTCTGGGATTGGAGGCCAGAGGCCAGAGGGTCAGACCCAGCCAGGACTTCTCATTTCATCTCACAGACACAATAAAAAAGCATATTTGTCCTGCCTGGGAAGTGACAGGTTCCATTTCCTGGTGTGCTGTGGGAGAGACGGGAGTGGGAGGCAAGTCTGGGACTACTTTGGGCCTGGGAGCTGGAGGGGATGCTCCAGCAGTCTGGGAAGGCTAAGAGTGCGCCACTTCCTAAGTGCCTGGCCTCACCACTGTGTGCCTGAGTTTCCTCATCTGTAAAACAGGTATGATGGCAACGCCTAGGTTGGAGGGTGGTTACAGGACTGAATGAGTCTGGATAACTGAGTACTCAGCCACATAAGGCTGGGGAATTGCTGGTGGGAGGCGGGGTGAATTACTGCTGCTGCATGACCACTGGGATTGGTGGGAAATCCAGGGTCTGGACAGCCAAGCTGAGGGAGTCAGGAACCTAGAGGGTGTGGGGAATGCGATTTAAGAATTAGCCAGCATTGCCGGGCGTCGTGACTCACACCTGTAATCCCAGCACTTTGGGAGGCCGAGGCTGGCGAATCACAAGGTCA